GTTGTATCTAACATGATAGGCTGGATGTCAACACCGGCCCAACAGTTCTAGACACTCTAGTGCCAACGGCACAGTTTACCGCATCGCTGTGCACCTAAGAAAGAACTTTCTGCATTATAGTCGATGTTTGGAGATATAGTATAATAGTGGCAAATCTATCTGCATAGTATATGCAGCCCATGCAGGCAGCTAGTTCCGTCCTAGGATATAACCTGGTAAGAGGCGCTTGCTTCGTACAGAATAGAGAGTTACTGAGCATATATGCGTTTAGCAGAGCAAGATGATTGTATATGTAGCACAGAATCCTTCTCTAAAATCGTTATAATTGGTACGGGCATCTATTCCTTAACCAACGTCCATCCCTGTGCAGCGAAAAACCTCATGGGCTGAACAACCTTGCGCAACGAACCACCAACATTGTTCAGCCGCATTGTGACCAAGCCGCAGAGACTCTAAGATTTAGGCACACATTCATATGTTCTCTAGATCTACCTCTATCTATCGCAAGGCTTGACTAGCAAAATTATAGTAGTATAAGCGGAGTATATGAATCTTTCGTGTTGAACACTGAAGCTATGAAAGGGTACGCCCCGTATCTTACCAAAAGTTAGGTGAACAAGAGTCGGGTGTACGATCAAACCTTACTAAAAAACCATGTACATAAGAGCCAGGTGCACGATTAGGCGAGCAAGTAGGACAAAAAGAGAAAGGGGTAAGCCTAAGATGCCATGTAAAGTCACGAGGCTGTCCACTAACGAATGACGCTGTTTTTAACCCTACTTTCTGCAAAATTACTTAATATACAAGACAATATTTTCATAAACACAACTACTTACAAAAGGCGCCTTACATAGTAGTTCTTCTCCTTTATGTTTTTTCTTGTGTTCGATAGGTGAATACACACTTATTTGACAGGCCTCTCTGCCGATAACAAGTAGCGTATCTAGTTAAACATGTAAGAATATATCTTTTATGGAGTGTAAGTACCCCAAAGATTTATGTCCTGATGCTGTGGGCGTGCCAAACTTCGTGATTCGGGGGTACGAAGAGGCTGAATGCAATAGGGTGCGGCGTTCGGTGATGAAACACGTGATCCCAAACGCATTATTCCTATTCTAATCTAATCGACGACGGTTCATGCTATAGAAGTGCCTCTTGCTTTTCTAACACCCATCGCACGACCGGCTATGCTCCGCTACATTTGTCGCGTAGTGATCCACTGCATTCAAGCAGAAGCGACGCAAGATAAGCTGCTGATCGTTAACGAGAGGGTTCTCTAAAGATACAGAGATCACGTACTCCTCTAGAAACTGCCTATAGCTCTCTTCTAGCGAGGTCAGGTCTATCCATCTCGATCCACTGCGCGAGAGCCGCCAACACGTACGTAGAGGGACTAGGACTAGTCCTGCCCTTACCAAGTCGTGCTTCTTGACCAGGCAAATAGGGGTAGCGGGTATTTTCTCTAGATTCTGTGTGCTACCCGAGGGCAACACTAGCTGGACACAAGCCATCTGAACTGGCAGGCCTAACCATCCCACAATGTATGTCTGGGTTGGTTCGTTTACCCTATATATTAGACCCTGATCAATGGCGGTCTTTTGGTTACGGACTAGCATATCTGCGTATTGAGAAAAGCCCTCAAGCACTACAATCTGAAGACCTCGGTAGAAGACGGTCGTCGGCGAGGAGCATATGACCTGCTGGCCGCTCGCAGAGGCTGATGCCCGCCTCTCGTCGAAGCTTTCGTCAGCTTCACTCAGCTGTAGCTCCGCCAAACCCACGCATCTTAGTCTAGTTTGTGATTCCAGCTCGTAAGGCGGTTCTTGGGTGACCCATTGTGAGACCACAGCTTGGGCGGTCTGGCAGGATAGTGATTCAGCAACCTCCTCTCCGAGGCTTCGGTGGCAGTAGCTGCTATCGCATACTGGACTGAGTGATCCCCCCTGCTCTTGGACGTTATCAGGCGCATTGGAAACACTAGCTGTCGAGGAAGGTTGGGGATCTCGAGAACTACGGCTAGTCAGCAGTTTCGCAGATGTGGAGCAGTGCGGGCGTTTACATATTGGCGAGGATAAGACAAGAAGTTGGCTTCTTTGTCGAGTCGAGTTGGACGTGCTCGGCTTCACTCGCAGGGCAGGCCGTTATACACTGTAGATCTTTTGCCGATGACTGTCATTCAATCTGTCAGCAGCTCGTGCTTAGTTAAGAATGCTAGTAATATGACTCACAGAAAGAGAGCGCTCTATATCTGCGGCTGTGCAATACTGAAGCCCATGTTTTCCGAGCTCTACAGCCCATGCAGCGGCAGCTTCTCTGTTGCGTGCGGTAGCGAGCGGGTACAAAAGTGACTTGATCTTGTCTAGCTCGCTATTGATCTGCTTAAGACGCCGCTGATAATAGATTAGCGTGTTCTCGGACTCAGTATAGTTGCAGTCCTGATATTTAGAGCAACAATAGTCGCATTTTGGTCGACCATTGCTACACTAGCGAATATTAGGCAAGCTCTTGACGACAAGGACCAAGCGATAATTTATACCTTTCTCTTGAGAGCTCTGCAGTTATTGCATGCCATAATTTCTCTTACGCTAAATGTACCCCAATACGTTGTTGCACTAGATAGGGGGGTTTTCGCCTACTACTAGACTTGATCGCTCTATTAGATACAGATAATGTACTAAAGAAAGAGTTAGTAGGTTTGTTGTTGCAAACTGCGCGGCTGTCGAAAGCATGAACTTGGTTAATAATACCACCTACCAATTGACCGTATATTACCAAATAGCCTCTATATAAGCAGAGGAGATGATACAGATAATAATCAATCAATCCTACGTACAATTTCCTGATGCACTAGATAATGCGACATTCCTTCAATCCTAGTCCTGCAATCTAATGCGTACGTGCCTTCGGTTCATGCAAGACATACATATCCATTTTTTGTGTCAATGCGCTTCTGCAGCGTCATCTTATCATGCATGCGCGGATTCCTTTTTGATGTTCTATCCTCGCCCCTGTCTTGCTTCGCGCAAGCTTTCCCTAATCGCTCTAGCTTCATTCAGCGCACTAACTCGCATACTTTCCACAAAGGCGCGTCTACTCGGCAACTGTTAGTGTTAAAAGCACCTTATAGGGTATGTGACAGGGTATAGTAACGCTGCTGCCGCATAGTTGGACTTTACAAACAGAGCTGACTGAACGTGAGGCACTTAATTGCTTTAGATAGACTAGAACCGCGCCGATCAGGCAACTGCTCTAAAACGCCTTCGGGTCGCGACAAAGGCAGCCATATTAATTATGTTGTTCGTACATTCAAATCCTAGCGTATGGCAGGGGCGTGGGTGTTCAGGGTTGTACGCAATCATCCCTGGCTGCATAAGTACCTATCACGATGACATTGATCAGTTTATCAACAGACTTCATGCCGATCACCTGTGTGTCCAAAAGCGCCCATAAGCCTATAGAAGTAGGTCTTTTAGCTTAATAAATGCGGGCTTGATCTGTTCCACAGTTCTCAAAATAATGCAGTTCATGGTCTAGCCAATGACTGATATATCTGCTGGTTTCAGGGCTTGAAATATTGCGATTTACAGTTCCCTCTCATTAAATCTACGTGAACTCTGGTGTATAAATACTTAGATCTATTATAGCCTCTTACATAGGACGATTATCTAGTTCCTTGAATTCACCTGATATAAGGTCGCCCGCGATGCTTGTTCCGACCTCATAGAGGACAGCACCTCCTCACACGTTTCTTCCATCGTTTTTTCTGCGAAACCAGTACCTGCAAGCCATTTCTCACTTCTGCCGTTCTCCACATAAGATGCACCTTTCACTTTATTTGTTGTATCTAACATGATAGGCTGGATGTCAACACCGGCCCAACAGTTCTAGACACTCTAGTGCCAACGGCACAGTTTACCGCATCGCTGTGCACCTAAGAAAGAACTTTCTGCATTATAGTCGATGTTTGGAGATATAGTATAATAGTGGCAAATCTATCTGCATAGTATATGCAGCCCATGCAGGCAGCTAGTTCCGTCCTAGGATATAACCTGGTAAGAGGCGCTTGCTTCGTACAGAATAGAGAGTTACTGAGCATATATGCGTTTAGCAGAGCAAGATGATTGTATATGTAGCACAGAATCCTTCTCTAAAATCGTTATAATTGGTACGGGCATCTATTCCTTAACC